TAACGTTACCTGTCCAGGAGAAGAAGAGCTAGCTCCGAGTCAGATTGTAGCCCCTTTAGCTCTCGCAGTGCACTCCACCTTGGAAATGCAAGGCTAATGTTAATCCGGGTTCTGTCCCTTTCTTTATCCGACAACTTCTTCGCCAACGACTGTTGTTTCTTTAGAGGTAATGTCAGATCCTAGTCGTCTTCAGGTGAACGTTTCATTCCGCTCTCTGACATTTCGCTTTGAAAATACGCGCTGCCATTGCTCACTGGCTGTAGCTTTTTACAGGGAGGGAGGGCCAAGGGCTCCGAAAGGAGGGAGGAGGCGGCAATTCACATGAACGTACATGAAGGCGCAGCCGGACCGGCTTGTAAACAATGGGCTGGAGATCAACACAGAGAGAGGGTGTGTGACGTCATGCTATACTCCAGATGAAATTACACGTCTAGTTCTTCACATAGCGATTTTTTAATTCCTTCAATCTAGAAATGATGAATCTCTGCTTGTTGCCCCTTTAACATGTTTATTTCTGCTGTAAAGTTGGGCATTTTAACACAAGCCTCTTTGATGATCAATTGCCTTCTGGAGCCTGCCTCAAGTGGCCATTCAATGAACTGCAGTTTTTGCACCTCCATGTTGGCTTCATTTTTCAGCCCCAGAAGTTGCTGTCTGGAAACAACTGGCTTGGCTCTGTCCAAGGGTTAAAAAAAAATTCCACCAACCAGTTCATTTTAAAGGTCCAGTGTGTCAGATTTAGGGGGGTTAAGCAGTGAGGACTGCAGATAGTGACAAGCTGAAACTCCTCCTGGTTACAGTTCAGTGTTCATTTTCAGGAAGTTTTTACCGGGAGGCAAATTATCTGCAGAGGTCTCCTCCTCTCCAAAACATACAGGTCAGTTGATTATTCGTAAAAAGCGGTAAAAATACTGAATAAAGCAGTTTCACTTTACAAATCAGTGTTTCTCCAACCCTGTTTGGCATGTCAGAGACCGGCCCCTAGCTTAGCATAAAGAAATGTGTGCCCCCCTTTTCTCTCTGATAACTTGACATCCAGATGTTCAGGAGGTTTTTACTGGGAGCCAAATGTTCTGCAGATGTCTCTTCTTCTCCAAAACAAATGGATTTTTAAACTGGTAAAAACACTGAGTAAAGCAGTTTCTCGTTAAAAAAAGAAATCAGTGTTTTTCCGACACAACTAAGGTGGCCAATGTGAAAGGGTCTCTTACTCAACAAAACAAATAGATCAGGGGCTTCTAACCATCGTGGTCATTGTGAAAACACAAAACCACAAATGGCCCTATAGAGCCAGTGTTTGGTTTGTCCATTCTGGGATACTGTAGAAACATGGCAGTGCAACATGGCAATCTCATTGGACGAGGACCAGCTCCTTATGTAGATAAAAACAGCTCATTCTAAGGTCATGAAAACACAACAATTCTTGTTTTCAGGTGATTATGCACCAAAGAAAATTTACTTATTATATTATATTCCATTTCTGCCAATATTCCCCCCTAAATCCTACACACTGGACCTTTAATTTTATAACTTAACACATGTATCAGTTTAGTAAAGATACAAACAGACAGAAAAAAAACACAAGTTGTGGTTTTAGGGGGAGTTACTTTCTAGTATCATTTCTTTGCCGGGTGCAGTGTCAGCTGTTTTCAACTGCTCCCAGTCTTTCTGCTAAGCTAAGCTAATTGCCTGCTAGCTCAAGCTTCATATTTACAGTATAGACATGAGAGTGGTATCATATTTTCATGTGACAAGCATTAAGAAAGCAAATAAGTATATTTGCGAACATGTCAAATTATTCTTTTTGTCCATGATTCTCCTTGTCTCTCTTGGGTCCTCCACCCTGTCTTACAGGCAGGAAACCTTTCTCCTTCCCACTGTTTGACTGTGCTTTTACAGCCTGCTCACATTGTTTACATGCACTCCATATACTTACCACCCACTGTGGAAAAAAACACACTCAAGTGGAAATAAAAATACCCTGTCAGGCCTCTGAATAGGACGCAGGTTGAAGCCGTGGCATTTGCATAATCAGTCGATTACCTGGCAGTTAAAATGCTGCTGCTTTTCAGTCTCGCTCAACATCTGCTGGTCTCATGGCTTCTTGTGGTTGTCAGTTGTAAAAGAAAAGTCTCTGCTGACATAGGCGTCAACAACAGCCGCAAACACTTAGCCTGCGTCAATTAGCAGAGCTGTGCATTACCAGACTAAACCACTGTCTCCTGGACTGTGAAAATCAATGGCTGACACTGACACCAGCCTTGAAACACAGCAGTCCATCATCTCAACAGAGCTGCACAATGTCAGTGTGCATGAATGCTTTCCTCGTTTCACTCAGCTCAATACAAGTGTTTAGAGCAGCAATGCAAAGGCTCCCATCCAATATCTAAGTGCCTGTTTCCATTCATTATTTAAACATAACATATTGCAACATTCATGCTAATCAACCCAACTCACCATTTATACATAGATGCTGATTTTAGCTATTGTATTTTTATCAATCAACAGAAAAAAATCATAGAAACAAAGAAACAGGACTGATGATAGTTTCTGAGTGCACTCTTAGCTGTCTTTGGTGACATCATTGTGAAGCTGTTACTTTTATGAGGTGATAAACGCATGAAACACTGCACTGACAGCACCCCACCTGACAACAACAAAGTCACTGGTTGCTGGAGGCATGGGCGGATTATGAGAGAATGTGCCCCTGCACACAGAAACCAGAACCAGTGACTTTGTGGTGGCTTTGCATCTCTTTGTGAGCTTTTTGTGTCATTCTGAGGCTCTTCCTCATCAGTACATGTTAATCTGAGTGACAATTTGCAGGTGAAGGCCAGGCAAGGCCCCTGACACTTTGGGCCCCTGAGCCTGTGTCTGGTAGACAGAGGTCCTGGCCAAATCAGATTGGTGACAGTGGACAGGGAGAAACAGCCACATTCAGTTTAAAGCAGACAAAAGAGGACGACCACACTAAGCACCCTTGACTAATCCACGTCCTGGCTTTCACCCACCCAGAGGGCATCATCACACCCATCCTCCTTACACCAACACCACCTTCTCACCTCCCACCCCCTACCACCACCATTGTCACAGTAATCTGTTAACCCGACCAGCTTATGTTCAGATCTGCCAAAAACACACAAGGGCATCACATCACATCCCCCACCAGCCTCTCCTCCTTTATAATCCAGCCCAGTCCAGTTTTTTTTTTCAGCAGTTCAGTTAGATCACCCAAGGCTGATACTATCTGCCCCCCATCAGAGCAGATCAATCGCATTTCTGCTGAGCTGTAACCAGAGGGGTGGGGGGACATGAATAACACTGGATTTATCCACAAACACACACGTGGGATGATGTCAGCTGATTTGAGAGGAGCTGTATTTGAATGGTAAATGTGAGGCTACAGGCAGCAGCTGGTTAGCTTAGCACAGATACTGGAAACAGGGAAACAGCAGCACAATCTGATGTCTTTGAGAGTCAAGTAAGCTCTGTAACAAAATCTCATGTGAATATATAGTTGATTTGCTTTCTCATAATTTGTCATTACTTTTTCACACCTCTGCTTGGCTTGTACCACCCATCCAAACACCATTGCAGACCAATTTCACCACGTCATGTCCACATTTCCCGAAGGCACTGCCCCCCTCCCCAGCAGGACAATGCACCATGCCACACATCAACCTGGCCTCCAAATTCCCAATCTCAATCTGATCAAGCATCTGTGGGCCAGGCAGCTACGGCTCACCGGTAGAGGGAGTCGTCCAGTAATTGGAAGATTCAATCCCCAGCTCCTCCAGTCTGCATGTCGGAGTATCCTTGGGCAAGATACTGAACTCTCAGTTGCTCCCGATGGCGATTCCATCAGTGTGTGTGAGAGTGTGTGAATGGTTACTGAGTAGCAGGTGGGACCAGGTGTGGTAGCCTCGGCCACCAGTGTGTGACTGTGTGTGTGAACGGGTGAATGTAGAAGTGTAAAAAGCAATTTGAGTGGTGAGGTACCGGTACCCCAGAGCTATGTCCCATCGAAGGTGGGGTCTCCTTGGATCAGACTTGGCTCTGTTGAGGCATGGGAACGGGACCTCTGTGGTGTCCGGCACCAGGGCATTGGCAGCGGATACTTTAAGTCATGTGTTTTGCGAGGTGAGGTACAAATACATAGCAAGGATGCTCAATCAGATTGGGATTTGGGGAATTTGGAGGCCAGGCCTTTAGCTCTTTGTGATGTTCCTTGGGCCATTCCTGAGCAGTTTTTGCAGTGTGGCATAGTGCATCATTCTGCTGGAAGGGCACTGCCATCAGGACACGTGGATGACATGTCTCATAGTTCCAAGCAGAGCATCACATTGTGATAAGACGATCAATTTTACTGACTTCACCTGTCAGTGTGAAGTCAATATTGTGGCTGATTGGTGTGCATGTGCTTTAGTTTCCTGACACCAAACTGCTCCTGATGATGATTTTAAAGTAAAAGCTTGAGACAGAAACACGGCCTATGTCTAACCTTACATTTACAAACGCTGTTACAAAGGAGATCTCCAAAAGATGAACTGTGTATATACACATAATGTATACGTATTTATATAGTTCATATTCATCCACCTGGCCTTCCCCAGTTCCATCGAACCGCAGACTCTCCCGTCGTCTTTGGAATTGTTTTTGGGAAATGGCCATTGAGTGCTCTAGTGCTAATGGATCTGTATTGATAAACCTTTGTGGGAGGGCTGAGCCAAGTATTGATTAAAAATCTCCATGAGGTTCACTGAAAGCACTCAGAGTAGTATACATTAAGAGGTCAGGAGAGAAAGGCAGCTGCTGACCAAAAGAGTGCAGGGAGTTTTTAAGTTTATTTGCTTTTTCTCGAGGAAACTGTGATACTGATACAGTGCCAGAGTTTGTCCAAAGGATCAAGAGGTCAACCTGCTGACTAGGACGTTTTCATGAACAACTTTACTGTGATCTCCCTCTTCCTTATTTGAGAAAGGAATAAACACACAAGCAAAAACATTTAAAATATCTTTAATCATTGGATAAGCTCATATAATTTACATACTGCATAATATAATTCTCCACATTGATGACCACAATCAGTTGAACATTTCCACTTTACAAAGAAAAAACATTTTTCTCTCACATTGCATAACAAAATAATAAAAATGCATCGTACCATGGAAATAAAAACCATTCCACTCACTCAAGCAAAATATCGATTGGACTGATCCAGTGAACTGCAGTCGGTCTCTGTGGCTTTTTATTTTTCAGTCCTCTAAGCTTTGTGTTGCCCAAGTTAAGTTTTGGACCCAGTTCAGAGCCCAGTGTGCTCTCAGTGGGGTTTATTTCAATTCACTTCCATTTCTTTGAGCCGTTTTGGGATGTGAACAAAAACAACATACACACACAGAGGGATAAATAAGATTCAAGGAAAGGAAATGCTTAATGGTGCTCTTCAAGGAGCTGTCAGGTACCAAGAGATCCGCATCAGTCCTGGGATACATTGTGCTTGTGTGTGTTTGTGTATGTATAAGAGGAAGGAAGAAAACAGCAGGACACCGGGAGTGGAAGCTTCCTTTTTAGCTGCATGCTGTGTGCTACGGCGCTCAGTTTGCTGTTTATCCCTCTATTCTGCCTCCAGAGAGGCACAACCAGTCTGTCTTTTAGCTTCTTAAAAATGGCCAAAATGTGGAGGAAAAGGGCTCTTGACAGCATTTCAGGTGGCTAATAGAAAGAGTGGATGAGCTGTGTGCTAATGCTGAACAGAGCAGTAGGGAGTGTGAGACGATGGAAGCAAGACTGGCATCAGCAATGACTACATGTGCAGGGAATTACTGTGCAGAATCAGATTGTTGTGCTGCAATGACAATGAAAAAAGTAAGTTTAGTTTTACCCTGGATAGCTTGTGATTTCTCAGCAACTCTGTTAATTACTTCCTTTAAAAAATCTATTTTTACAATAGAAACCATTTGTTTAGAGCCCAAATTGGCTCCTTGTTGAGTTGTTATGTGGTAAAAATAGAAGAGTTTAAAGGGAGCGGTTGACAGTGTTGTGAGTCCTTGAGAGGATGACATCACAATTACAGTTTGCACTCAGCACCTGGACAAGAAAGATGTACGTTTGAGCTGTCCATGGCAATGAGAAATCTAATATTTTACTTCATTTCATTATTCATTTAACCAGGAAAGCATCACTGGCATTAAAATATTTTCACTGTGAAGAAAGCTTGTCAAAAAGTTTTCAAAAATAATGAACAAATACTTTACTTACTAATACTAATACAGCAGCCATATTAATTCACATTCCCTCAGTCAGCCTGCATGGCTGATTTCTGGTAGCTAATGCATTAAATAGTATTACATTTCTTTGCTGGAGCTTGGCAGATTACAATGAAAATGGGTAACACTTTGGAAAGCACCAGTTATAGTGTTTAAGTAAGTGATGGCTATGTCAGTGGTTAATAAATAATTTACCAGTCCTTTATAGATCACTTACAATCGTTAATTAGGACAAATTTTGGTTCCCGAGGTTATAAAAAATCTCATTGGATGGCGTTAGTCCTTTTTTGTATTTGGTAATAATGCAGTCAGATATTGGTAATCCATCAATCAATGCTCATGGGTGTCTAACCTTCTAAATCCATTTAGTCCACAGTTGTAAATGTTAATAAGCCATTAACAGAAGGTTTATAACTGATCAATAAAACATGAATAAACTGCCTTACTAGGAAGGGGTACCTGAAAATGTGATCAGGATTTATCAGAAATCTCCTATGAAGGAGTTAAACATCATTGTAATGGTTATTATTCAGACTCTGACTGTTAAATGCGTCACCAGTCGTCTCTTTCATCTCATCTGCCCTCATTCAAACAATACTGCCTATTGCCACTAGCTCCGCAGTGAACATTGTTTTATGTGGCAGCTAGAGCTGAAGCCTGCTTGCTCTCATTGTCATGGCAACCGTGTGGATGTCCACTCGTCTATGTAATCATGCTGTTTGTCTTGTTGCCCAGAATAGCTGGAGGGTGCCTGGCACCTGAAGCCAAGGCAAACACACCACGCACTGGGCATCTGATAAATCCTGGACATCATAAAAGAATAGGCCGGTAAGATTTGAGGGAGCGAGCCTGCCAGGCTGTGTTTACCTCCATAACCTCTAAAAAAATGCTGGAAAGCTTTGACTGAAAGGTATTTTCCACCAGCTTGCCAGTTAGTATCACTTCCATTCTCGTCCATGCACAAAGCAGTTATTATCCTTCTTTCAAAAACAATCAGGGCACAAGCTATTTGTCCTGGCATCTAGACTGTCATCACTCATTAAATCTCTGCCAATGAGCAGTTTTAAACATTTTCTAATTTTAAACTGGATCGACTGAAACAACATCTTGTGCTGCAGTGTACCTTCAGAGACACACACTACAGCTTAATGTAATGTGTTTTACAGGTTTGTTCCCAGCACTAAAATGTAGTTGTTGTTTTTTTCCATATGGCTTGGCAAATTTGGAAAGAAAACCACAAACTAGCGGAGCAGACAGTCTCTCTGGCATGCAATGTTGCTTTACAGCCAACACATATGTTAAAAAGGGAAGGAGGTTTCAAATGACTTCATGTCTGTGGCTGGATGATATACCATGGTTGAAATACTTATCCAGCGATGGATAGGGGCTCTTCTTTTTGTTTTCAGAGAGATTTAGAGGGAAAGAAAAGGATTTTTTAAAATGTTCCAACTCGTCCAAGAGTTCAAGGTCCAGTCTGAGCACAGTTTTCCTTCCCTGTCTCCAGGACCAGCCTACAGTTGCTGTTTCTGTGGTGCCGGCTTTATGGTGCTGTCTCAAAGCGAGAGGGCATTGTGTGTGCATGATGTGTGTGTTGGCACAGACGGAGCATTTCCATCGAACCAGTGTGGTGGTGGTGGTGGTGGTGGTGGAAAGTAGGGTGAAAAGAAAGGCAGGAGGAGGAGGAAGGAAACACTTCAGTGGCTCAAACAAATGGAGATGCGGAGTATAACATCTTACTGTAGCTGCCTTTAATGATTTTTTTGCACTAAGACCTGGCAGAAGATCGAAGATGGACTGGCTGTAGTTGACTCCAAGTCGACACAGTATAACAACAAGTTGTGTGTTATATATTAATGCAAGCAGTTGACTCTTAACATGGAGGGAAAGAGCCAGATTCAAGCAACAATTGACCGTTCGCCAAACCCTTCTATACACTAGGCACAACAGGCCTGTCAAGTTTCAGATTTCTTCAGATGTTGACGTCTAATAGTGTAAGGGGTGGATTAAAGAGTGTGCTTAATCCATCCCCACTTTAAGGTAAACTCAATCATTAGCATGTCATCTGACAGAGACAGATGTCATTTCAGACAGCAAAATTAGCAGCTGTTGGCTAAAAATGAGAAGCGTCCTTCTGTGTACCTCTGTCTGAAATCAAAGACCCATTTTTCTCAAAACTGACTTAATATTTATTGTTGTGAATCTGCAACATTAACGTTATTAACTGCATAAATGCTAGAAGAAAAAGCTTGGCGGGCATACATAGGGACATAAACTAAAGGGAATGGAGCTTAGCGGACGGTCTATTGGGTTGGTTAAAAAAAAATGTTTTACACATCTTTCTTTAAACACATAAAACATATAAAATAGTAGGCCCAGAACAGGATGGACTAGGGCTGTGTATCAAACCGAATAGACCGATTCAAGGCGTCTTTTGGTTGCTAGGAAACGACATTGCGGTTCCACTTAGGCTTTCAGTCCAGCCACTACAGCATGAAAACAGCATGTGAAAAGCCGAACCATAGTCTTCTGCAACTGAAATACACACCGTGGGAAATGGCGTGATTAGTTTTAGGACCTTGCTGCTCAATGACTGGTTATTTTCAGCTCGACAAGATACAGACTTGATGTCACAAATAAAAGTCCATTGCTTCTCTAAAGAAATAAACCAGAGCAAAGTGTCAGACGAAGATCTTGACCCCACTGGTAAACTCCAGAGTCTGTACCGCTCATTTCATGAGCAGTAAGTTTCGCAATATTTTGTAAAATAAAAACAACAAGACAGAAACTCAGCAAACACTAATACAAATGCTCCTCTTCCTCTTTTCAGACTGTTGATAAATGAGCATTAGCTTATTCAAGCTAACAACAGCTATGAATTAAATGAAAAAAACATTTCTGTGTCTTGTCATTTCCATACTCCGTAGCATTGCGAAACTTACTGGTAATGAAATCAGCGCTACAGATCCTGGATTTTCTCGATGGTGTCCACTTCTTTCGTCTGACCGCTGCAACCTACGCTTAGTGCTGGTTTGTTTCTTTAGCGAAGACATGGACCTTTATTTCTGACATCAAGTTTCAGGTCAGGAGGACTATGGTTCAGCGTTTCATATACTGCTTTGGTGTAGTAGTGGCTGGGTGATGACAATGATGTAGGTTCCTACAACCTGATCTCACTCTGAATTCGTCGAAATCCAGCGCTCGGGCAGTGACTTGCGGTGTCAGACACTGACGAAAAAAAGCTGTTCTTTAAAGTCGGCATCGGGTAGGGGGGGAAATGCGGCAGGATAAGAATGAACGTTAAGACAATGAAAGTCCAAGTAGCGCAGGCGGGTAGTGGATTGGTCCAACACCAACTTTCACCCCAGAGAGCGGTGTTCACGTCCCGCAAGATTATGAAGCCAGACCCAGTTCTTTTTTTCCTAAATCTAACCACGTGCTTTTGTTGCCCAAACCCAACCACGTGTGAGTTGTTGGGACAGACCGTCAACAACCAAAGCACCTAGGAGACGTTTCACATCGTATCAGGAATTGGAAGGTCCTTAACCAATTGTCAATATGTGATGAGGTCAGGGTGAGAATGTGTTGTTTCCCAGCAAGTGAAAGACTTCTTGAAATGGTCTATACTCCTTCCTTGGTACTGACTGCGGTATATAATCAGCACTAGAATTGAAGAGTTTCAAACAATTCCCAGCACTAAAAGGAACGATTTGAGATGGTATCCAAGGTAGGAAAGAGGGTAAGTCAGACCTTCTACAATTTTTTTTTTCGTCAAGGTGTAGGCTACTGTAGCATAAAAAGTTATGTACTGATTATGTAATATGTTCTCCTCCGTCTATCAAACGTGTCGCACTGCCCCTGCAGCATTAACATGACAAACTGCAGACTAGTAGGAGATGTAGTGACGCCGTGATGAATGAGCTGAAAACGCTTGAAATCCTTTGGGACTCGTCTATTCTTATCCAGACCTGACAGGCCAGCTGTGCTCAGGCAGGCAGTCGGCATCTGTCTCACGCACACACACACATAACACACACACACATCCTCTCCCTGTCAGTAGTTTTGGAAACTCCTGAAGAACAGACAATAATATTAGACTTTGCTGAGAAGAGGCTGCTTATGTAAGCCACTAGAAAATCTTCAAGAAATATTGCTTTTCGTCTCTGATTATTTTAGGTCCTCCACGCATTTCTAATATTTCACCAATAAAATTCTCAGCACAGGGCATGCAATATCCACCCAGCCAACGTTAACACATTTGCCAGTCAACACTCACATGGCGAGCGCACACAGACTGTTGGTCTAGCCATTTGTACACGCAAGCAAGAGGCCAGGAGGAGGCAAAAATAATAAGCATAGAATGAGTCGAAAAACTCAGATTATCATAACAGCAGTGCAGTCATCTCAGGAGTGTAAAGTACAGGCATATGTAGTTAAGGTTTACACCAATCAGGCACAACATCTGCTTAGAAAAAACCTACACAGGTTACCATAACGGTTAAAGTGAAAAAAAAAAAATTCAGCCATATTCAGTATTTGTCTACAACCAGTCACGACTAGTACCTGATGCACAGAGTAGCTGTATTGCGATTCAGTGAATATACAATATTGCAGATGGTGAATTAAGCACTGAAGGTATTTAGCTCTACAAAGACACAAATGGATACAGTATTTCGCAGTGAGGGAAACTTTTACTAACCTCAGTGCTGATATTTTAATATCTTCTACTTTTTGTTCAGGCAGCTACAAGTTTGGGGAGAAACACGCTCACAGATTTTATCAAAAGGTGTTTAATATGTATGTTTTGTTAATACTTTATCAAGTAATACTGTCTATAACCATCAAGTGCTTGGTTTTATACCATCAGAGACAAAGGGTTTGTACCATAAATTTAATTTGTGACTCAATAGAAGGGGAAAACTTTGGTCTTCCACTAACTTCAGTGCAGCACAATCGACTCTATCAGTGCTGCTAGCAGTGGAGTTGTTCCACCACAGAACATATCAAATTATATTTTAATTATAGATCAAGTTTAAACTCAAATCTTCTAATTTACATTGGTTGATATCAAGCAGTCTGAAAATGTGTCTCAGCTCTCCAGCAGATTGTTTCACTGTGCTTTAGGAAACAAAACAAAAAAAAGAAAAGAAAAGAAATCAGGGAATGCAAAGACCCTGAGAAAAACCATGACACAGGATTTCAAAACTGGTTTTCCTAAGTTTGTGTGAGGCAGCCCAGTTTGGCTAAATGTGGTCAAATCCTGAAATGTGTTTCCACCGTAATACTGACATCAATGTTTAATAGAAAGTTAGTGCAGTCACAGGAGGGAACAACAGGACAGTAATTCTTTGTCTTTCAAACCCAGTGTCTTTCGACAAGGAAAGCCTTGCTATGTGCATTTCACAACAGCAGTTCACTCCTCTTCTTCGATCTGTCAGTGATCTGGTCTTTGATGTCACAGAGGGAGCGTTCAATAGTGGCTTTAGTCCTCTCTGTTATTATCCTTCTTACAAAAACGTCACATCTTCTTGCGACTGCACCCACCGCCAGTGCGCGTCATACTCCAGATGCATTTTGCCGTTCATTTTGCAGGTATCCAACTCAATCTTTCCGTTTTTGTAAGGTTTGAGTTTGGGGCTCTGGCTGGTTCCCAGTTTCTCGTTGAGGCTGGAGCGGGTTGGGCTGCCTGTTTGTGTGACTGGTTTCTCCAGGATACCATTAGCCTTGACGGTATTGTCCTTAGAAACTGGGCTTCCTTTACCTGTCTCTGCAGCCTTGGTCCAGACCGGAGCATCTTGTTTAGGGCTTTCAGACTGGGCTTGCGGAGAGCTGACAGGAGCAGCTGGTTTCCCAGTCCCAGTCCCAGTAATAGCACTGGTAACCCCAGTCCCTGGTCCACTTTTCACCTCCATCCCATTTCCAACCCCATTTCCATTTTCATTTGGCCCAGCCCGATTCCCACTTCCAGTCCCAGTACCAGACCTCACACCTACCCCAGCTGCTGTTACCGTGGCCCCAGGGCCTCCCCCTGTCCGGCCCCCAGCAGTAGCCTCTGACACCAGCGGTGTGGTGGAGCAAATAACCGACTCCGAGCTTGAGGGGCAATACTCATCCATGTCATCCGCCAGGGTGTCCAAGTAGCTGCCGATGGAGATGTTGTCCAGCTTGTCGTTGGGGTCCTGCAGGCTGCTCCAGGAGCCTCTCCAGGAGGTGTCGGGGCCCTCGCCCAGGCTGTACTGGCTGCTGGTTAGGCTGCTGCAGCGGCTTGTCAGCGTGCTGCGCTCCTCCAGCAGCCATTTCACTGCCTCGATGCCTTCATGGACCGCCAACAGCTGCTGCAAGATCTTTACATCCACCGAGCGCAAGTGAGCCTGCGGAGAAATAAAAAAAGGAGATAGGGATGAAATTACAAAGTTTATGACTATTTTCATTATGTTCATGTTTTATGTCTGCAATGGGGAAAAAGTTATACACGAGAACCAGACAAACTATGAACCTGGGAAACCACAAGGACTCTGCAGATATTTACTTTAAGCATTCAGCTTTGGCTCCACAGGCAAGCGCAAACACCATTATAATGCTATTAAACCTTTGCAGGTTACCATAATTGGAAGTAAAGTATAACAGAAGCTGGCGGGCCCAGTATAGGCAGCAACCAATGTGGAAACAAATAAGGTAAAGGTAGAGGGGGAAAAGCTTAGAGATGTAAAGAAAACAGAGAGAGAGAGATGAACGGATGAAGGAGAGGAGAGACAGTTTGGATTAGGCTGTTTAAAAGTGTTAACAGGGAATATTGACTAAAACTAATCCTGCACATGAAACTGTTGAGAGATGGAAATGTGATGCAGTGGAAAATAGCCTATGACACACTTGTAATTAAGTTTAAAAAAACTTTAAAAAAGACTCTAAATTACCTATAAATGCTTCAAAAATACTCAGATGTTGAGTTGGTCATGATGTCATCTGGTATCATAAATAAAGAAATGATTAACCAGAAATAACAGCCACTGGTGTCTTCTAATGTGATGTGTGTGTGGGAGGTTGAAAAAACTAAACGATGAATAAGAGGAAAAAGACGGCTGCGGTCATGGAAAATTCCTCCCTAGAATACATTAGCAGAGGTCTGCGGTGAAGTGCAGGGCCAAGAGGTGATATATGGCACCGACATTCAAAGCTATCCACCCCTCTCTGCAGATAACCAGTCTCTCGCACAGCTTAAGCCTTTAGTCTGTCAGGATCTCAGTTTTCTCCACGTAATAATTTTTTTTCTGTATTACTTTTCCTGTGTCTCACTGTGGCCCCACAGAGTGTCTTTTTTCCTCAAGGCTGCTGTGGCTCTGTTTACTGGAGTCATATTGTGAAATAAATACATTTATAAACAATGGATATTACCAGACTAAATTTGTAAGAGTCCTGCATTTAAAATGTTAGATTAGTAAATCACACATATATATTATTAGAATATTATTGCTGATGCATTTTGTTGGGTACTCTAACCTAAAAAAGGCATATTATTTTATAAGCTTGTTATATGTTTCGTTATAAAATCTTAATTTGTAAGGTACTAAAGCTGACACACAAACATAGGAGAATAAAAAGTACAATATTTCCCTCTTAAATGTAGTGGAACGGAGGTATAAAATGGCATGAAATGAAAATAAGAGTACCTTAAATATATCTTTAAACAGTTGAGTAAATGTGTAAATGTAAATGTACACCACTGTGATTTACAAAACGTATACAAAATATGCAGTGTTATAATGCAACACTAGGTGATATATTCTGTATATAACAGCAGGCCCAGTCATAACAATCACAGTCAGACAAAATACACATACATAACTACACATAAAAACATAACTTTACATGGTTCTTACAGACTGTGTGAGGGGTAATTTCACAACAAAACTCACATAGACGTAGTCAAAAACTGCAGTTTTTGTTAAGGGAAATTGATCTTTGACCTTTGGAGTCTTTGTATACCTATCTTTTTTCCTATATAGGCTCCTTATGACCCTTGAGGTTATATCAATAAAACAGTGGAGTGGAACATATTGATTCCTTCAACCTGCCAAGCTATTTTCTGTTGGTCCTGCATAATGTTTGCATCGATGGGTACACCTATTTTTTATGTCAAAACAAAAACAAAAAGCCCTCTCCATCTCAGTGTCTTTAAGAACCTGAGATTCTTCAGTCTACAAAGAAGCAACTATGTACAGTACAGGGCAAAAGTTTGGACACACCTTCTCATTCAATGCGTTTTCTTTATTTTCATGACTATTTACATTGTAGATTCTCACTGAAGGCATCAAAACTATGAATGAACACATGTGGAGTTATGTACTTAACAAAAAAAGGTGAAATAACTGAAAACATGTTTTATATTCTAGTTTCTTCAAAATAGCCACCCTTTGCTCTGATTACTGCTTTGCACACTCTTGGCATTCTCTCCATGAGCTTCAAGAGGTAGTCACCTGAAATGGTTTTCCAACAGTCTTGAAGGAGTTCCCAGAGGTGTTTAGCACTTGTTGGCCCCTTTGCCTTCACTCTGCGGTCCAGCTCACCCCAAACCATCTCGATTGGGTTCAGGTCCGGTGACTGTGGAGGCCAGGTCATCTGCCGCAGCACTCCATCACTCTCCTTCTTGGTCAAATAGCCCTTACACAGCCTGGAGGTGTGTTTGGGGTCATTGTCCTGTTGAAAAATAAATGATCGTCCAACTAAACGCAAACCGGATGGGATGGCATGTCGCTGCAGGATGCTGTGGTAGCCATGCTGGTTCAGTGTGCCTTCAATTTTGAATAAATCCCCAACAGTGTCACCAGCAAAACACCCCCACACCATCACACCTCCTCCTCCATGCTTCACAGTGGGAACCAGGCATGTGGAATCCATCCGTTCACCTTTTCTGCGTCTCACAAAGACACGGCGGTTGGAACCAAAGATCTCAAATTTGGACTCATCAGACCAAAGCACAGATTTCCACTGGTCTAATGTCCATTCCTTGTGTTTCTTGGCCCAAACAAATCTCTTCTGCTTGTTGCCTCTCCTTAGCAGTGGTTTCCTAGCAGCTATTTGACCATGAAGGCCTGATTCGCGCAGTCTCCTCTTAACAGTTGTTCTAGAGATGGGTCTGCTGCTAGAACTCTGTGTGGCATTCATCTGGTCTCTGATCTGAGCTGCTGTTAACTTGCGATTTCTGAGGCTGGTGACTCGGATGAACTTATCCTCAGAAGCAGAGGTGACTCTTGGTCTTCCTTTCCTGGGTCGGTCCTCATGTGTGCCAGTTTCGTTGTAGCGCTTGATGGTTTTTGCGACTCCACTTGGGGACACATTTAAAGTTTTTGCAATTTTCCGGACTGACTGACCTTCATTTCTTAAAGTAATGATGGCCACTCATTTTTCTTTAGTTAGCTGATTGGTTCTTGCCATAATATGAATTTTAACAGTTGTCCAATAGGGCTGTCGGCTGTGTATTAACCTGACTTCTGCACAACACAACTGATGGTCCCAACCCCATTGATAAAGCAAGAAATTCCACTAATTAACCCTGATAAGGCACACCTGTGAAGTGGAAACCATTTCAGGTGACTACCTCTTGAAGCTCATGGAGAGAATGCCAAGAGTGTGCAAAGCAGTAATCAGAGCAAAGGGTGGCTATTTTGAAGAAACTAGAATATAAAACATGTTTTCAGTTATTTCACCTTTTTTTGTTAAGTACATAACTCCACATGTGTTCATTCATAGTTTTGATGCCTTCAGTGAGAATCTACAATGCAAATAGTCATGAAAATAAAGAAAACGCATTGAATGAGAAGGTGTGTCCAAACTTTTGGCCTGTACTGTATGTTCAGAAAATAATCTTGTACCTCATGATGTGAGGTGGCTGACATTTGTTTAAACCAGTCAGCAATGCTGGCCGTTGGGTAAAACCACTGTAGCACATTGGGTGTCTTCCCCTCATCTCTCTCTGTATCAGGCCCACTGTGGTTAAATACTATAGATGGGTGATTTAGATCAGTGGATTCCAAACTGTGGAAACCATTGAGGGTACTGGATACTTTGACCTCTCTAGGCCTTTAAAAATTCATCAAATGATACAAACAGAGAAGGAAAAATCCCCCTTTGGTTGCCCACTGCTCACAATTTATGTCCACTTTCAGGCTATAATCCTTGAGTGGTCACAAGCAGCTTCATTTCAAGGAGATGAAAGTCACAAAGGTTGGTAACCATCAGTTTAGATGATACTGCATCCCCATGTTGAATATGGTCGGGTTGACTCCTATCACTTACAGCCCATTATGTTAACCATGCCCATGTAATATGGGCCTACACCATCAGCTAAACACTGTTTAGTCTGATTGCCTTGAAACCTTTGAATGGGTTGTTTATGTCACTTGTGAGGACACTGACTTACCAAACCTAAACCATAACCAGTACATGCATAACCCCAACCCTTACCCAAACTTTAACCAAAGCATGACTTTAATTTGAACCAAAAACCAAGTCTTAATCCAGAAATAAACTACATGGTTGAGCTTGTGGGGACTGGGTGTTTGTCCTTAGATGAGAGAGGAGTCCCCATAAGGCTGAAAAACCAACTTTTTCAGGCTACACTTTGACACATGCTAGCATTTACTTTTATCTCACTGGAGCTCTCCGAACAAGCTTAAGCTGTGTTTTGGGAAGGATTGCACTTTCAACTGGCTTGTTTGGACCATAGACTATAAAATAATGGACATAGCCACCATGTCGTCGCCCATTGGTTTGTAGACTCCCCTTTTAAAGCCTCAAGATTGGCATTCCGGCCATCGCCATCTCGGATTTTCGGGGCAAGAAGTGACCCTATTTTGATGAGAGGCTAGAGCTATGGAGAAGCAAGGGGTGGATCTGACTGATAAGCTAAGGACACAATCGGCAGACACTCTCTAACTCTAACCCGTCATGCCCTTAATTATGCATAACTTTAAGCCTTAATAAAATGTAAATGGTTAAGTTCTAAAAAATATCACCCAAATATAGTTGACAAGAAGGGGAAAATTAGCCTAAGAGACCAAAACCATTTTGTACATGTTTATTTCTGCAGTAAAGTTGAGCATTTTAACATAAGTGTCTATGGGGATTGACTGGCTTCATGAGCCAGCCTCAAGTGGCCATTCAAGGAACTGCAGTTTTTGGCACTTTTGCTTTAGCTTCTTTTTGTAGCCCTGGAGGTTTCCGTTTGGTTTTGACAAATGCATCTGCCAAATGAATGTAATGTAACAATGTGACTGTTCACAAAACAGGTATGCACACATAATCTAACATGCTGAACAGACAGCTGGAGCAGCTGAGATGAAGCAGAATGTAAAGAAATGAGCTGTGTGGTCAG